CCACTGCCTAATTTTGAACACACTTCTGTTAAAAAGACACCAAATAAATAAAAACGGATCAAACTACTACAGCGCCATCTTAGTTAGAGTCTGAACTAAGTCCTCCGTCTTTTATTTGCAATTTAAAATAGTGAAAATTAAATAAAACTAAAATGGGTAGACTCGCGCCGGTTTACGGTACTACATCTGAGCACATGTTTTTTGCAAGTAACCAAATAAGATGACAAGAGAAATAATTTACTGAAGAAAAAATTTTTAGGTAAATTTTGAATCCAAGGAATTAAAATTTTAAAACACAGTAATTAACACTAAAATACGTTTCACACATTTATTCAGAAAACTTGTTAGTTCAGATTCTTTCTATTTCCAGCAACAGCTCTTGATGCCAGTTTAAATTTAAAAAAATTATAAGATACCTGGAGGTTTCTACTAGCAAACCTCCGAATTGCAAAACTCCTTTGAGATGTTATTTCGAAGACTATCAACTATGTTTTGTACTATTACCTTTAACGCAAGTGTACACATTACTGAGTTAGAGATCAATGTAGTTTAAAAAGAAAATTTTACATAATTCCCCTACTTGTATTTGCGACAAAACATGCATAAAAAATTTAAATTCTTCTTTTTCCTCTTAGTCTGTAGCTCAAAACATGCGTGCTATAATCATTAACACTCATAAAAAATTATAGTCCATTATTTTAAAAACAACAAGAGATATCGTGTTTAAGGTGATGAAAAATTGAGAAAATAAATCTGATTTTGAGATAAACATATTTAAAGACTTAAAATCAATAATCTATCCACTGTTATAGCCTTGCAAAAAAAAACTGCTATAACTTTGTAAATACTGGTAGTAAAAACAAAAGCGAAATAATTTTAGCTAACAGTATAAGAATTTTAAATATATAATAAACTCATTTTCGAAAATTTTGCCCAAAATCATGTTTTTGTACTAGTCGGAAATAAAAAAAAGAAAAGACAGAAAAAAAGCTGGGAATAAACCACTGAACTTCATTCTCATCCAATCTAAGAATTAGGCATTTTGCCAAAAACTTGAGGTCACGTAAACTGCCGATTCGAAAGGGAAGAATCTTCGGGAAAAGTTTTAAAACTTTCTTTATAAACATTATCCAGTTTTCTAGTTTATAATTCCAAAAAAAATCATTGATAAAAGTGAGCTAAATTCTATTCCTAACAGTCTACGTAAAATATATCATAAACTAAATTCGCATTGATATATTTTTAATATAAGAATGTCCCTTAAAAATTCTTTAAAAATGTTGAAAATCTTATATTTTCAAGCTGTGACGTTATGTCAGGAAAAAACGCAGGGGAAAAAATTTTCAGAAACGACGACGGCAGAAACTGATTCTAATTTACCGAAAAGTACGCAGTTTTATTATTGTTTTAATTGTACAGTTTATTTATTCGAAAGAGTAGAAAATATGTAAATTTTTACGTATTGGCTAATTACTCCATAACAATTACACCTGTCTAAATAAATTGAATCAAATATGTTTTATAGATTATGTATTATTAGATAGAAATGTATGAAAAATATGTGTATTATATACATATTTTTTATAGAACTTGGTTTCGTAATTTAGCCTAATTCATATGATCTGGTGCATTTCTTTTTGCACTTTTCAACTGGGAAGAAACTTTATCACAAACATTTATACTGAGCATATGCCATAATTTTTACCTAAATTGATACCAAATTAATGAAGATGTTTAAGGAGTCTTTTCGCTAATTTTAGAAAGAGGAGGGTCGGGATGAATGTAACATTTTTGTTCCTATTTTTAAATCACATTAACCGATGTGCATTTTAACTAAAAGCAACGGAAAAAAATCTTCAAAATGTTGTGTTTTTGAGCTCTTATATAACTCGAATCATGCCAAATAATTATGTTTAATATTAAATTAATTAGCTCAAAAAAATAAGGACTTTATTTTTAACATCTTACTGCTTCGATTTTTAAAATTTTCAAGTTGCTTGTTAATTTTAATGAAACTATATTAATACAAACTTATATTTCTCCATTTTGTTTGCTCATTTGCATTAATGGACATTACATTTTTAAGGAAGTTAAGAACCACGTGAATAAAGCGCAAATAAAGTACAAAAACGGACATACTATAGCTTCGGTTCTTTAAACAAGAACATTCCTCAGTGACTAAATGCCAAATGACATTAAAAAAAGCAAAGAGATAAACGTACAAAAGGGGTTTAATCAATCAAGAAAGAGAAACAAGTTTAAACAAGATAATAAAGAAACAGGTGTGAGGGGGTTTGGCGGGAACCCCAGGAGGCAAAAGATAAAATTTGTATAGATTTCCAAATATTGGTAAAAGGTGGGACTGAATTTATTCAAAAAGTACATTTTTAGAGCATTTTTTATTAAAAAAGCTGCTTTTAAATTAAATACACATTTCAAAATAATATTTATTAAATAAATATTAAAAGATAGGGTAAGTTGGGGGAAAGTGGGTACATGGAGGAAAGTGGGTAAAATTAAAAAACATCCATTTTCGTCTTTCAAGTTGAAATAATTTATTTACTATTTTTAGAGACATTTACTGGTATTATAGCAAGCATTTTTATTTCAATTTTAAAAAGTGATAAAAAATTTAATCTTTAAAAACTATCTGTTAATGAATAACTTATAAAGTATGTCAGTTTAAGCTGTTGATGAACTTTTTTCTAATATCATTAAAAACTGTCAAAAACTTACAACTAAGTTCCGTTTAAACTGGTAGAGGGACATCTAAAGAACAACTCAACATGAAAATTTAAGAATTAATTTCAAAATTGTATTTATTATGAATTGTTTTCTTAAGTGGGGTAAAGTGGGTACATGATAAGGCTTAGCTAAATGTTGTGTGATAGGATATTTTTTGCCTCTGTGTTAGCTCTTGTAAATATCTAATACTCTATATTGTATGATGAAATAGTTAAAAAAATAATTTACTTGTTTGTTTATAACACTGAAAATTATTTTAACGATAAAAAAATTTCTTTTAAATTTCATTTTACAAAGAAAGGAATGATAGAAGGAATGACAATTTAACAACATATGATACAATTAAAAAGGAATTAAGAAAATAGCACAATGATACAATTTAATGAGCATATTTAAATATGTAGTTTTCAAGCAAGTTTCTACCTTTCTGAGCCAGTTTCTTCAGGGAAAATAAAACTATTTCTATAAAGTAACTACATTCAATATAAATATATTTCTGGTATAAAAAGTAAAAAACAAATTTCAAATTTCCAATATAGATATTTATTTTTACACTCTCATTTGTATTTCAAAAAAGGCAAAAACTACTGCACTTTTCTTTATTTTTGATGATAATGTGAAAAGGGCAGCAAAATATTTAGCATTCGAAGCGAAACCTAATTTTGATAGACGCGGAATTTAATTTAATAACACGAAATAATAATTTAATAATACGAAAAAAATATGTTTACGCATTTGTTTTTTAAATATAATCATGACTCATTTATTTAAGAGCATTTTTATTTCTAAAACAATATTTGTTTTTTAGTGAAATATATAATAATTTTAGAACTAAACACACTTTACCCCGGAGTAAAGTGGATTTATCAAAACTTTGAATGCATTACTGTAAGAAGGTCCCTCAAAATGAATAAGTTATGCCTCAAATTTAATCTATATTAATTCAATTTACATAAAATGCATTAAAATTTTTTTTAATTATTTTACATAAAATGCATTAAAATGCATTAATTTTCAGTAAAATAAATTTAACGGCTTAATTTTATAGCCTTCTTTAAAAAAAATTGATTTTATACCCACTTTACCCCAACTGACCTTATATTTTCGTTGTTTTGATTTTTTAAATAAGTATATTTAATACTTCTTGCTTCTATCCTAACGTTATAAGATAGCATGTTTTTAAAATTATATGTGTTCACAGAATTATATGTGTTAAAATTACATGTGTTGCAGAATTATCTTTGTTAAAATTTCATTTTATATATAAAACGAACACCTTAATAATTTTTTATTTGAGAATTTAATTCTCAAGCGGTAAAATTCAATCATAACGGTTCGAGAAAATGACCTTAAATATGCTAAAATATTAAAGAATTTTTATAAAAATTTATAAAAATTTTTTACGTTTCAAAATCAGAAACAAAATAATTTCTTTTTCTGAATAAATATCAACCAAATCATAGAATAAATGGATTCTTTACTCTCAAAATAGAAGAGAAGTAGCCGAAATCTGGAAAATATGGTCTCATTAGTTTCAGCAGAAGAGCAATTTTCAATTTGGATCCGTTAATATGGCCTTCCCTCCGCCAGACATCTTATAAGCATTTAAGCGAATCTAAACATTTCTGGGTGCAATTATAAAGCTTATTCACTCAAAGATAATTCCATGCCAAAAAAATAAAATAGAAACATTGATTGTTTTTTATTAATTATTTTAATGGGGGGAAAATATTGAATTTTAAGGTATACTTATTTTTATACATATTTAATCAACGTAATTTTCTCTGAATAAATCCAAAATTTTCAGGAAATAGGTCGACTCGTTTCAAGAAATAAAAATTTTAAAAAATAATTATACCTTAAAATATGGAGAAACACACACACACACAAAAACTTGAAAAAATTGCATTAAAGTTTTCTTTTGTCTCTTTCCAGCTTAAACTATTACCATGTTTTCCAATTGGAAGCCATTATCTATAGTTTGAGGGTTAAAGATCTAACTCTATCGAAGAAAGGGTTCGTTTATTCAAACTAACTACATTTTTGTGTCCAATTTCATAACATAAAATATTGTTTGCACAAATTAATTTGCATATTTATGCTTAGACCAGTGATTCTCAACCTTTTTTTTGTTGCCGCACACTTTCAATGATTTCGAAATTTGACGGCACACAATGAAAAAAATTAGATTAAAAGTTGTTTAATTACCTATTTTACACTGTGTTAAATAGTTTGTGATAATAATTTTGAATGTGAAATAAAATAATATGTACTACAAAAGCACATTTATTAAGGGATTAATTATTTCTTTCGACCAATTTTTTATTAGTTAGTAACAGTTATTTATTTTTTTGCTAGTTATTAATTGTTAGCTTGTTTTCTATAATTATTAACTGTTATTTTTTTGTGATTTCTTGTTAACTAGTTTTTTTGCTAATTATTAATTGTTAGCTTAATTTTTGTTAGTTATCCTTTGTTAATTTGTTTTTTATATATTTGTTTCTTTAGTTATCCTTTGTTAATTTGTTTATTAATTGCATAGCTTACTTTAATGATTAGCTCTTACAACATTTTTTAAAATTGTGTGTCATATACAATTTAAACACTTCCATCTCATTTTAAGATTGTCAGAGACAATACAATCGCCGACAAAGGTGTTCACGCGGTTAAAGCGTAGGAAAATTATAAAAAGTATATATATATACATACATTTTTTTTTAATTTAAACTTTACTCATAATAAAAAAAAGCATTATAATTTTTATTGTATCATTTCTAATATTTGGCGGTACATTTTAAAAATTTGGCGGCACAGTGGTTGAGAATCACTGGCTTAGATCCTCGGACCGTAAAGGTTGAATCCTAGTACGAGCTAACCTGAATCATTTGATGATAATTTATCATGGAGTTCTCCTTTTTTTATTTCGCAGTCTGTTCTTCTTTTTTATATTTCAAGAACTGGCTTCGTCATGAAAAATAAGGCTTTCAACACTTGGAAGAGTTGGCTAATTGCTGTGGTATGCTGCATTGTTTACTGCTTGCTAGTACTTGTGTATAGACTGTCATCACTGTTTTATGCTGAACTAATTGAAATATACAACGTAGATAGAAAAACAGCTTCTATACCCTTTGTAGTTATGGGATTTGTCAGATGCTTTTCAGGTAACGAGTCTAAACCTAATTTTTTTGCTGAAATAAAAACATGATTAATTTATTTTTTCAAAAAAAGAAATTATATACTTTTTTCCTTATCTTTAGGCTTCATCTTTGGAGTTCTGGGTGAAAGATTTGGATTACAACGAATGGTTTACCTGGGTTGCTATCTATCCGTGTTAGGAGTCGGAGCTAGTTATTTTGCCCATAACATAATAACTTTATCTGTAACTCTAGGATTGATTTATGGTAATTACACTAAAGTAATTATATTTAATTAGAGATTTTCACATTGTTCCAGTTTTAATTCTGGAACAAAACGATGTTCCAAAATAACATTGTAATTCTTAAAATTTTTCATCAACCGATATTACAGAGATTACTGATTAAATTTCAAAAATTGCAAAATTTAAAATGATGGATCCAAATGTAAAACTTCTGTTCTATAGTTTTTAATTATGAGATGGCACAACATATCAAAATATCAAATCCATGATAAATGTCCCCTAATCAGTTATTCATTGATATTTTTAGGTGATTTTACTAATTAATTGGAAAATATTAGTGTTATTGAAAATGTTGAATATAAATTGATGAGTTTTCCTTTATTTTTGAAAAAAATCAATATTTAAGAATATCAAAAACAATAGTAAAAATCCAGAAATTAATCACTGCTAGATAAATTTAGATGTCTGAGGTACTTTTCTACCAAATAAATTTCAGAGTTTGTGAAATTCAAAATAATGAATTCAAAGTGGTTACTGCAGTTTCAAATCTTAACAAGTATAGTATTCCATGACGCAAGAATAATATTAAAAAATCTCATTATTAGATTCAATGATTACTAAATACCTTTGAATTCTTGAAGTAGCTTTAATTATTAAAACTTGGATAATTCTTAATGATGGTCTCAAAACTAATTCATTCTGAATCAAATTTAAATAAGCCATCTTAATGTTCTAAAAATTTTAGAATAACAAAGCAATGATGAAAATTTATTAATCAATCATTACTAAATACCTTCAGTTACTTGGTGTATCTTATTTCATAAAGAATACTTATAAGGAATATTACATAAAGAGTACTTATAACATAAAGAGTTCTTACTATTAAAGAGTATCGTCTAAAAATTTAACTACCTTATGATATTGCAACTATTATTAGTTATAATAAAAACTGTTTTTATGGTATTACTAATTACAAGTCACACTTTGTCAAATTTAAGGTATATAAATAAGTAATTATAAATACTCAGATATACGAAGACAATTAGATAATGTATTTTATTCGAGGGAATAAGGAAAAAATTAAGCGTGAATGACTTCTCATTCGAGCTTGGAACAGCCTGGTAAGATTAATATTTATTAATACCCAATTTAACAGAGTATTGTGGAGAAAAAAGGGACACTAGGTCTGGCTGATGTCACCACATGAGAGCTTGAAATCGCTTAATAAAATTAATCATCACTCACACCCCGTTTAATAAAGTGTCGCAGCAAAAAGGACCAACAACACCAGCACATGACCCTACACCAACGTCTCGTATGGGGCCGCTATCTGTTAAAGATAATCGCGGCCAGAAAACAGATAGCTTCATGGCAAAGATGGCCTTTCACAGAACTCCCAACCCCAACAACTCCAGGGTGAAGTCCGTGGCTGATTAGCAACCCAAATCCCCTCTAACAGACCATAGCTATATCAGAATAGGCAAAAACGTCCATGCATATGAAAACATTTTATAGAAATACAGCTTGTAATAAAATGTAATTCGTAATATGAAGATTTCTAACTGATACACCTGCTCGCTCTGGACGTTGATAGCTGATTAAAAGTAGGTCTATGGACAGACTTGCTTTTGCAAAATAAAAGACCCACACAAGCTATTAAGTGAATCATTTTTAGAATAGTTGGTCAAAATGATTACCTTTTTCTTTAATAATGGTGAATGAAGTATATTCTTATATGATGATGATATGAATATGGTGAATGAAGAATGTTGTTTTTTTTTAAATAATTCTAATAATTCCAATTATAGTTAAATAAATGTCACTATTTTACTTGAGATCATAAAACCAGGAAGGAAATTTAACCGAAGTCTACCGACACATTTACATTCAAAATATTCATTGCGGACATAATATGATATTCATAACGAAAAACAGACTCTCCTACACACTGTGAATATATACAGAAAACCCACCTTTATCTTAGTTTGTTTTATGTTCTAAAATCATGATAAAATCGAAGGGTGCCTCAAAGTTCACCCAAGATGTGAATTTTTTGCCAATACGATGTTGCCAATAAAGTAAAACGGCAACGAAAGAGCCGACAGTTCAAAATTATCAAAATAGGACAGACAGAACAACGAGTTATCGTTTTTGAGCTGTATTAAGTAAATCCCTGATTATGTAAGCTCTCGTTTGCTGAACAACATCAGCAATACAGATTAAGAGATAATACAGTTTAACCAATTTTATACGCAACAGTAAACTTTATATTTCATGAATCAATTAAAAAGTCAATATTTTCAATTTAAAATCTAAGATTCCATTCAAAATTATTTCTCACATGAGTTCGAGAAACCTGTATACTGACAATCATGAGCAATTTTTAATGGAAAAACAGTTTACCATTGATTTTTTATTCTATTTTGATCAGAAATGTAAGCAAAGATACATTCACTTCCTTAAAGATTATTGCCCTTTATAAGCATAGCGAGCAAGATGCGAAGACTCTTAATTTAAAAAGAACTATCAAATTAATTTTATATAAATCTTCTTTATATCTTATTAAAAGATATTCCGTTTCCTATCTTATTACTAAAGAAATATTGTTTTTTATATCTATCAAATCTCATGTAATATTTCCTTTAATTATGTTTTAGGTTTTGGATTTACTGCAACAGCATTATTACCCAATATCATTAGAGAACATTTTGACGCAACTGCTACAACTCTATCAAATGGATTAATTGGTATTGGACCATGCCTCACCGCAATAGTATTTCCCGGTCTTGTAATTTATTTTATAGAAGATTATGGTGTGCCTGGCTCATTTTTACTTTCATCTGGTGTGATATTAAACGCAATTCCTTTTATCATGATACTTAAACCGAGAAATAAGTTAACAAAATTTCGTAAAACAACCATGGACATTGAAAAAAGTGAATCACATAATAGCCAAGACAAAACTGTGAGTGGTTTTGAAGACTTGGATACATCATTCAATAATGAAGAAACCATCACAAATTTAAACGCAAGCAAACAAAATGAAGATAAAAGGCAATTGAATCTATGTGAGAAAAAAATTGACCTTATTACTGTAACTACAACTTTCAATAGAAAAAAAATTCCAAAATGTTCCTTGCATAATAAAGAAGGCTGTCATTGCATTAATATATCGTCTAAAGAAACTAAAAATATGCCTCAAAATATTTACCACCAGAAGGTCTTTGAAGAGTTTTCTAATCCATCAGCAAGTAATGTAGATAAGCAACCAAAAAACGTAACAACAAATATCACAAATTCTAAACATACTAATTCCCAAGAACTAAAAATCGCTTGCCAACAAGATGATTCAATGGATAAAAGAAATAAAGAAGAGAAAAAGGGTTTTTTCTATACTTTTAATGTGTTTAAAGATTTAACATTTATAGCTCTAATACTCGTTCAGGGTTTATTAGCCTATACTTTTAATATATGGTTGACTACCATGATTGACTATTCCAGAGATAAAGGAATTGATAGGAGTTATGAAATATATATTTTGGCACTAAACCCTATAACGGATATTGCAGGCCGTTTAGGTTTAGCTTGGGTGACAGATAAAGGTTTCCTTACTGTCCCTAATTATTGTGCACTCTTGTACATTTTGTTGGGTCTTTCAAGCATTTGCATCGCCCTAGCAAGAGATTTTGCAATAATGACTTTAGGACTTCTGGTCATGACTTTCGCAATAGGAGCGTTCATGGGAATTTATCCAGCCATGAGTTATGAATTTATTGAAAAGGATAAACAGGCAGTCTCTATTGCTTCAATTGGTCTAGCGTATGCCCCTCTTGGTTTTACCGTTTCTCCTCTAATTGGTAAGAATAACAAAATTCATGTTCAATTGTGTAAGATTTTAATTTCCACATATTTATGTAGAAGTCGTCGGCTAATTGCAAACTTCAGACGTCATTGGTTAGGCTTATTGCAGGGAGACTTGTAAGAACTTTGCAAAGTGGGGGATTTTTTCATTTAGCCAATGACATGTATAAGAAGAACTTGTAACAATGTTGATAAGCCATGCATTTTTAAATGTGATATTCTTGTATTAAAGTGTTATTTAAAATTGTTTCCAGATGGGCACTTTAAAGGCTCATAGAATTTACCCTTGGTAACAGCAGAATACAAGGACACATCTTATTATGTTTTCGTGATATTTTATATCATATTGTCCGGCATGCCCAGGGTATTTTATTTTATAAACGTTACCATGAACAGCAGACCCAATTTTGGGTATATCACTACCAATCCTCAACCCCGTAGCCTTGTAATTTTGAACCCTATCCAGAAGACAAGGGAACTCCTGGAGAAAGGATTGGGAGAAACTTGCCTTCGTGCAGGACTTTTTGATGAAGATCACCCCGCATTTGCGTTTCATAGAGATAAAACCACGAAAACCTCCCATAGTTAGTCTGAAAACAAGGGGACTCTATCTCATGATCAGTCAGTTTACCACTAAGGATATTATTACGTTAGCACTATGGTCGGAATGATCGGGGTGCGAAATTCGTATCGAAGATTCGAACCCGGTTCACCTTACTGGAAGGCGAGTACTCTATTCCCTGAACCACCACGGCTTATGCCCATTTTATAAAAGAATTCCGACCGGGCTTATAGCTTACCCTTACAATACCCAGTAGGGCATGTAAGTATTTAATAAGAAATGCAAATTAAACGCAACCTAGAATTTTGACGAAAATCCCTTCGTTTTAAGCATATTTACTGAAGCTTCAATGCAATTGTTTTCATAAACGTCTGTCAGTGTTGTTTATTTGTATACCAATGACAATATATATTTAATTTATTAAGTAAAATTATTGAATAGAGCGTATTTTATTGCACCCTACACAGATGTTACAAAATAAAAATAACTTACTAAAGTTTAATATATATCTACATGTACTTCTAAATTTTTGTGGACGAATGGAAATTAGTATGTACATAAAAAAATATTCTTACCTATACAAATAAGAGAAACATTCAAAATTACCGATAAAAATGAAATTAATTTTAATCGAATGAAAATCCAATATTCCTTAAAAGTATCGATATACTAAGTTGCAAAATCGGACCTTTACTCCATCAGGAAAAAAATTGACTTAGAGTCTTGGAGGGTCCCTCCATCCCATGATTGGTATTGGCGGAGATGACTTGAGGGCTCCATTGGCCTTTCCTGCTATAGAGCCGACCAGACGGCGCTGTCGAGATTTGCCAGCGGCCACCTGAGGAGTGACTTCTTTTGCAATGTAAACAGGGTTTTCCCGGTTTGTGCAAAGTGCGGAGTGGAAAGTACGTCCCGGGAGCACATTCTGGCTTGTCTTCACATTTCTAAGGAGACTTTCGCGACGGACCCTTTGCTTGCCCTGGACTTTTTGAGAGTGTATGGATTCATGGATAATGTCTAGCTGCCGCTAGACAGTGAGGGGATTAGTCACACACACACACACAAAATCGGACACATAATGATCGTGCTTTCTAAGTAAAAACATGCTTTTTTTTGTCAGATTTATATTCTTGACCTTAGTTATTAATCTATTGATTTCTTGATTCTTATACTAAATATAATGGTTTAAACAAGAGAACTGATAGAAATTTGGACCCTTTAATGCTTATTTTATTGCTTCTATATTTCCTATATCTATAGAATTATTTAAGTGAATCTAAAACTTTCTGCTCACAGTTATTAATCTTGCTTATTCCAACATACAATCATGCAAAAAAAAAAAAATTTCAATAATATTTTATTATTCCTACTATCATATTAAATTATAGTTGAAAATTTTTATGATTGTAAGCTATGCAAATTTCTATATCATTTTTAAACTATGTAATTTTCAATACGAAAATAGAAGATTTATGTAAAATTGACGAAATTGTTTCGGGGTAATAAACTTTAAAAAATATCGTACATTTAATTTCTCAGGAACTTTTTAAGGATTTCGTTCAAGATGTGCATTTTGTCACTTAAAATTACATATACGAAAATGATGTTTAAATTTGTATAGCATAGAATTCAAAATTTTAGTCTGCGATTTATATAAATGTATCAAAATGTTTATGTGCATGTATGTACCGTATACAAATCCACAATTCTTAACCGATCCCAACAAATTTGATGCGCATACGTTCCAAGACGCGTCGGAATTGTCGACTTTAAAACTCTCCCCGATAACCGGTTTACGCCCAACGTCCCAAAGAAAAGGATTTTTCATAGGATTAGATAAAGATTTTATAATATAAGCGAATCGCTAGCTTGCCGCTCAAGTAAATCAAAATTTAGTTTCATCTCAGGTATTTATGAATTATTTATCATAGGTTTTCTATGTTAGGCTTATTACAAGTAAAATGAACGTTAAATATTTCACGAAGTTTCATGATAATGTCAAAGAATCCTTATTTTAAAAGCCATGTGAGACTGTTGAGGCTAGTATGCCGACAATATCAACTTTCATCTATTAAAAGGTACCCAAAGATTGTAAATTGTTGTTTAATATTAGTAGTGGTAGTTACGCCACTCTATTCCCCACCAGAATTTTATCATGGATAGAATTCGAGGATTCCACTAGTTGCCTTATTTGTAAAAGACCGGGAGAGTTGTATTAAGTTCCCCGGATTTTGAACGCAAGAAGTGAGAGCTGTATTAAGTTCACATTGTGTGTGTGGTCGCTCCTGTGTTGCTACAAACAGGAGTGTGGGCAGGATCCCGTCGTGAGTAGATGAGACTGAGAAGCAACAGCGCGAGGAGGAGGATGACGCACGACACAAACAGCAAGTCAACTTCACTATGTGTACCATCCATCAAAGTAGACGTGTCCTAGTCGAAATGGGCGTAACATACGACGTAGGCGATTTTATAACACGTTCGGGTCACCAATGTGGTTCAAAATCTTGTGATTTATGCTGACGATGTTAACCTTTATCTATCAAAAGGTACCTCAAGATTGAATCGAGTTAGCATGTCTTATATAATAGTGAATGTTTACTGTTCGTAGTGGTAGTTGCTCATATTGATATTCACGCTTTTGAAATGCTTTTATAAACCTAAATAATGTCTATATAACATCTAAAAACCAAAATACTTTCTTAGAACATTTCATCAACATTTGTTTTCAAGACACGCTTGTCAACAAAATGTGACCACTCTTGTCAGTGGCTCACCACTAGTTCTTAGTCCAATTTTTTATAAAGAACTAATCTCGCTTTAAAAAAAAATTTACTTCACCAACTCATTTTTAAATTTATTAAACTTATTTGGTCCAAGCACTTTAGTAAAGTTGTCAGCTATTTTCTTATCTGTTAGAAAATATTTTATATTTACCAAACCTTCGTTGTCCTTTTCTTTTATGAAATGAAATCTCACAACAATATGCTTAATCACAACAACTTTTTTTACCAAACTTATTGCACTTTGGTTATCTATATTTAGAGTAGCAGAAATCTTTTTTTCCAGTCATTTATTCTATTAAATTCTTAAAATAGACTAGTTCTAGAACATTCTGCAGAGGCAAAATTATTCTGCTTCTGCACTTGATATTGCAACTATAGATTGTTTTTTTTTGCATCAACTTCTTGGACCACTAAAGAAAAATATTAAATATTATATGATACTTAAACAAATTTCAGGATCTTCCACATAGTCGGAACACAACAGGCAACTAGTTCTTCCTCGCAACTATCTTTTAAATAAACAATTCCATCTTTTACACATCCTTTCAGACATCTTAAAATTTTAAAATCCTATTAGCATTTGAGATATTTTCTTTTAAGGTATTCTTAACATGTCTGCTACTGTTATCTACCACAAAAGTTATATCTCGTTTTGTTCTAGATGAAAGATATAAAAGAGCTCTATTTTTCTCTATGGCAAACTCATTCTTTCAAGATCTTACGATTTATTACTTTGTATTATCATAGGAGTATTGATTGCCTTTGCGTTTTGCATTGTGAATTTTTCTATTATTTGATTTGCAGTAGGTTCTTGATGAATTTTTATCTCAGTTCCACTACTTTTAAAATTTATTCCTAAAAATAAATTTGGTTCTTCTCACGATGTTATTTTAAATTCTTTTCATAAGTTTTCAATCAAACCAACAAATTTTGCTTTGTTAGAACTTGTTGAAAGGATACCATCAACGTTTATAGCAAGTAATATGGTTTTATCCTAATTTCTCTTTCGATTTTATCTCATTTAAACCTTTATTATTTAGAAATTATTTTTACCATTTATTCCAATTGAGAAGAGCCTGCTTTAAACCATACCATGATTTTTGTGGTTTGCATACTTTACTTTAATCTTCATAATCTTCTGTTATCTTCTTGTAGATTTATTCATCCAATTTTTTACAGAGAAAAGCAGTTTTTATGCCGAATTTCATCATATTATACCCTTTCTTTATCGTTAGACGAAACATAATTCCTAAAAGTTTTACAGCTTGCAACAGAACTAAATTTTTCTAGAAAATTTTCACCATATTTTGTTCACAACCTCTTCCTACTAAACGAGCTTTGAATTTTCTATTTTCCTCAATTCTTTAAAACCCACTTAATTCTTAAATTTTTTTTATTTTTTCTTCTTTCTTTTCAACATCTGCCCAAGTTCTATTTTTCTTCAAAGAATCTTTTTCGTCTGCAATAGCTTTTTTCTAATCTTCGCTGCCAGGTTCATTTATAGCTTCTTGATATGTTAAAAAAAAACATAATATTTTAAATATGCTGGTTGTCTTCTTTCTCTTTTTCCTCCTAATTCTTCAGAATTAAATTTTTCCCTCAAAGCTTCTAGAGTTTCAACACATTCTTCCTCAATTTCGTCAGCAAATATTTTTGCAACTTCTGTATTATCATCAGATTGAATAATTTCTTTCATTTTTGAATTGCTTATATGTTTATATTTGCTTAATAATGCATCTCTTGAATTTCTTATTTTTTTGCTTTCTTTATCCCATAGTTTATAACCATTTGGTGCATAACCAACAAATATAAGTTTGTTACTTCGGCTTTCTAGTTTCTTTAACTTACTAAGATTCTTTGCAAAGACTTAACTACCAAATATTTTCAGTCTTGATAAATTAGGTTTTTTCTGAAACTAAATTTCAGCTTGAGCTATTATTAATGCATTTGATGGACTTGTGTTTAACAAATATACTACAATCAATAGACCTTCACCCTGCATTTCATCTTTGAGTTTGAAGTCAAGTAATAAGCCTCTTGTGTTATCTGGAATACTACGATTAACGCGTACAGCCTCAGCATTTAATTGAAGGGAATATGGAATGATGTAATCAAGAACAATTTTCCTTGATTTGTCCAGCGTTTAAATTCGTATAAAATATATTTATCTCCATTATCACCGATCAATTTTGAAACACTGAACAACCATTTCGCAATCACTTCCTAAACATACAATTCCTTGAATTTCCTGCTACCTCGAATTTATTTTTAATTGGATAAACCATCACAAAATGTGTGAATTCGTCTAAAAAATGTTATGAAATATTTCTTTATTTTCCATGCGTTATTTTCTATTGTTCCACAAACATCCGAGTGTTAACTCTAATGGCCTAGTTGCTTTAGAACGCTCACTTGAAAATAGACGGTAAGCTTGTTTTGCATTTAAACATACTTCACAACGATGAGAAATATATTTTAATTTCATCAAATTTATCCCGTTTGAATTACTAACTTATTTCTTCATACTATCAGTGCTTAATTGCGCAAGATTTTTATGCCATCAGTTTGCATTATTTTCCTCACTGGTGACTGGTTAATTTAGTTTAACTTCATGCAGCCGGACTTATTCTTTTTACCTTCCAATAACATTTACTTCCTTAGATCTTATCGCTTTATATTTAACAAATTTTACTACACCATCATTTTCTTTTATGAGAACAAATTTTTACTCAAATCCGGAAGGTACAACATATTTTTCAATATGCATCTTTCAGATTCAATAGTTCCTTTGCATTCAGCTTTCTTAACTTCAGATGATTTTTCCTCCAAAGTAATTTCTGCTGAAATAGTGGGAGGGGTTTTTTAAAGCACTTTAAATGTTTATCTTATGAAAAGAAGATTCCAAATCAACTACCCAAACATCCGAAAAATCAGAGCATTTATTTAAAGTTAAAAACGTTGCAGCTTCATTTTGCTCTTGTTGGTTTTACAAAAATAACAATCTTTATCAAAGTGATTGTGCTTGTATTACAGTTATATGATGAACTTTTGCGGTTTTTTGCTAAATGTGACGAGCTATTGCACTTGAAACATTTTCTTTCCTTAAATGAGTTTGAAACTTAAATTTGCATAATTTAAATAAATTATCAGTACTTTTACATTTAAAGCATCTTCTAACTTGTTTTAGAAGCAAACGATTCGTTATTTTCCGCAACTTTTATATTTTATTCTTCTCTAAATTACCTTGCTACTAAAATCGTTAAAGATTTTTTCCTTTCTCTCAGTAGATTTCCATGCTCTTCAAAAATGATTATATTATTCTGGAAGAATAAATAAAAATTTAGGTACAACAATTTCCTCGTCGATTTGATTATCCAACGCTTTTAAAGCGAAGCGATGTGTTCGAATTTGCTTATATTAGTGGCAATAACCAAGTCTTTGTTCGATCAATACGTGAAAAATTTTTGCGAATAAAGACACTTTTGTTATTCCGAGTTTGATTCAAAAACACCACATAATTTTGAAAACATATTAAAAACAGCATTATATGTTTAAGTATGTATCATTAACTCTTTTATCAATTGCACTTACTATAATTTATAGTGCTTTGACATTATTTTTGTTCCACATAGTTTTGGCATTCGATGTTTCTGCACCATTTTTATTATCAGTTACGATACCGCACAAAGCATTTCCTTTTAGGTAAATTGTTATTTCAGATTTCCATATTGCAAAAGTTGATCTTAAACTTTTCAATAATAATTATAGCACCACTTACCAATTTCATATTTTTTCTTTTATTTATTATTCTTCAGCTTTATGGAGCTATTGAACTGCCTCTACGTTCTGAGGCTTATGGCATGTTTGGAGCAATGGCTCGACGAAAAAATTACACATTCGTTGAGACAAACAAAACAGTTAATGTGACACAAAATATTTTCATAAACATACGCAGAGTTGTTGTCGTCCACAATTAAGGCAGAGCGGGTGCGATTGTTCTTGTTTTCCATGTGATGCCATGTATGTCCCCGAATTCAACTTCTACCACACCCATACGTCACATACGTTTATAGGGAGGACTCATTCATGCATCCATTCATTTGTCCACAGATCGTAATTTTGACCTCAACCAGAGAATGATCAATCTCCAATTTAGTACCCCCAGAGGTATTGATTTGTTATGGGAATATGGAGGATTTTTTGACAGGACAGATTTAAAGTGCACCAGTCACCATTTACTACACGGGGAATCTCCGGCCGGCTGGATTCGAACTCCCGTTTTCAAAAACGTGGTTCCAGCTCCCTTCAAACCAGGCTATCCCAGCCAACATACGCAGAGTAGATCATAGGTTTTACTTTTTGAGGTTGCTACTTTCTTTACTTTAAAACATTTCCACGACATTTATTTTTAATACACGTATTTCAACAAAACGTTGCCACTCCAATATGTTCTTGGGGATTAATAAAAAAGCTAATAATTATTTTTATAACACCGTGAACGAGTAGTGTGTTAATATTAGGGTGCTTATCCGTTTCGGAGAGTTTGTACATAATAGGCACCGAATTTAGTATTATAGATTCTTATTACCACAACACCTGTAAAGGTACAAATAATAGTAGGTGATTTTTACGGCCTTTGAAAATGTTTATTACGTAACATTAGTTCGCAAAAAATTATTGCAGAAATATTTGTGCCATTACTAATAATTTTTGTTAATTACAGTTAATTGATTTTGGTACTAGATACAAATTGAAATATAAATAATTGCGTTAAAAAGCGAAATTAATGGATAAGAGGTACTAATTCGTACTTGAGAACTGTAGTATAAAAATCTCATTACTGTTATTAAGGCCGATGATTCTTGATTAGTTTATTAATAGGTACCCCTTTTATTACATCAATTGGTGTTTTTTAATATATACTAATGCTAGTAACAAGATACAGAAATTAGACTAAAATGGTCATTTAAAAAAAATCTGTGGCTTTATGAACAAAACCAATTTTCTTTTGCAATCCCCACCTAGGCAAGATCAGGTATTCGTATAAATACAACAAAACAAAAAGGTCCCCAGAGTTATTTGCTTTTTTCGAAACAGTTCGAAGAGCAGGTATTCAGCCAGTTAATAAATAAATAATTAGAAATAAGCATTATTTAATACATAAAATCTTTGAAAAAAAGTGTTTTATAGTTGTGTGCAAAAAGCAATTGATTTTCCTAAATCGTTACAGAAATTGTACGAAATACATGAGAAATGAAATTAATATGAACGGTGTCGACCACTTTTCTGACTAAAATTGGGGCGGTTATTTTCCAGATTGTGGCTCCCTCCCCGTCTGTTTTAATAGTCAAAAATCCTAAAATGACAAAAAAAAGGCATGTTTATCAGAAATAATCACTTTTTGTGTCTGACTTTATAACTTAATTAACAAGCATATTTGAGGTCAATCTTTAATTTCATCGACTAGGTCAACCTTCATCTATCAAGAGCGACCTCTTGATGGATTCAAGTTAACACGTCTTATTTATATACTAGTTATTTGGTATTTAATATTTATAGTGGTATAGTTTAGCCACATTACTCCCCTTCCAGAATTTTATGTGTGGTAGAATTCGATGAATGAACTATTGTGATATATTACTAGTTGATTCATGCTGTTTTACTTTATTTATATCAATTTGCTCATATTGTTTCTTCATTATTTGGTTTATAGTATTTCGCTTATTTTTTTTATTCATTTTATTTTTTTTTCTTAATTATTTGTTTATTGACCGGGAGACTTAATTTACTTCACTTCATCCGATTTTTTTTAGCAGTATATTTTTAAGCAAATCAACTGTTTAATGTGAATAATCCATCATTGTTGGCATATCACTTCCGCAGGCCACCATTGAAGGGAATTTAATTTTATCGACTATGTCAACTTTCATCAATATAGAGGTACCTTAAGATGGATTCAGGTTAACATGTTTCATATACTAGTGATTTGGTATTTAATATTTATAGTGGTAGTTACGCTACAAATTTTTTACTTCATTAAAATTGGAACTTACGTAGTATGTTAAAATCCAATCATCAGAAGAATTATTGTACGCATTAAAAAAATATTTGTTTCTGCCAATCATATTAAAATTTTTAATCTTCACTTCTTTACAGGATATTTCAGAGGACACCTCGGGTCATATGATGGACTCTATTATTTACTTGCAGCTATGAACTTTGCCTGTAGCTTAATTGTTTTAATGCTGCCTAAGCTGGCCAACAGAAGAGAAAGGATGAAAGCTGCAGCAGTTGAAATAGTTAATTGACATAATTAATAAGATTTGGGCAATATTAGCTCATTTTTAAACTTAAGTAGTTTTTTCAGTTTTTTAATTGTTACTAGTCGACAGTGATGGGCTTTATTCGTGGAAATTTTAGTCCTGACTAATTAATCCTAAAATTTAGCCATTATTCATTAATCATTATGCGAATTTATATAAATTTTAAATAATGATTGATGACAAAATTTATTAGTCTTGACTATTTCTTATGAATAATTTTTTAAGTAACGAAGCAAATATTATGTTATTTTCAATAAATGTCATTTCATTTCGCTAATTCCTGCAATAGATTACAGATGTTATTAATTGCAGTTATAAATTAGTTATTTATCAAATTTGTAATCATGATTACAAGCAATTACGAAACAAATAATGTTAATTTTTCCTCAAAATATGTTTTGATTACTTATAAACACAGCCAAAAGAGAATCAAGATTATAAGAAATTATAACCTGTGACTACAAATAATCGTAATTATGAATAGTCGTGTTGTTTTTTAGTCATAATGTACGATTACAATAATATTTATACATATATATATGTATATATATGCAATATATATATATATAAGCAATCTGAGATAATGAGATGCTTACAAGATTTAGATATTGATGTTTTCACTATAATGGAAGCAAATATTACCCAAGAAAAGCTTCCGTTTTTCACATTTAAAGGGTATTCCCTACACTTGCTTCCCAAATCTAGCCAGGTTGCAAGTGGCATTTTAACTGGGGTAAGGGACAGTTTGCTGTCAAGATTCAAAATTATTAATGACATGACCCACAATGTGGATAAAAGTGAGGTTGTATCTGTGGAAGTGTGGAAACACAATGTCCATTTNATAAAATATCAGAAAATAATCATGAACATCGAAAATTTTGATGCCCTTATAAGTATACACAAAAAATTAAAATTTTTGAACTAATTTTTCTAGGTTTATGTACAGTTCATTAAAAATCATAAAAACGACAGAAGTATCATTTATTTAATAAACATATAAACTTATTGAACCTATTCTTCTTTTATTGAGCAATTTTTTCTTTTTAATAATTTCATCCATATTTACCCTTCATTTTTATCAGAAATTATTAGTATCATAAATGAATTGAAAAATTTTAATACTAAGTTAAATTGTTATAAAATGTATAAAAAGGCTTACTTTAATTATTTTCAGTCAAAAAACATATTCAATTAGTAAAACATAGGGAAAAAACTAAGTTCTGATTTGTTAAATTCAATTATTTAATCCTGAGGTTACTGTTAGACAGGGTTACGGTCTGGACAACCTCGGGACTATATCGAAAACTTTACCTAGATGCAACGCAAGGCGATGCACACAACACAAAAAATAAATTAGGTAATGACAAACGTGTGATCAAAATTTTGATTGATTTTAACATTTACTTTTTAGATCTGCGTCTGATTACGGTCTTGGCTTCGTAACTGTTACCTCACCGAATGACAGTTTGTGATAAATTCGATTAATTTATAATTACTGCAAACGAAAATATTTATCTATAATAATGATACAAGTTTGTTCTACTTTAAATAAGCTTTTCAAATATCACTAGCATAAAACTCGCAGAATTGGATTGTATACCTTTTTTTTTCAATTTTCGATGGTTACGGTTTGACGTGCCGAAATTTGGCGACAAACTTTAAGTGTTTGCAAACGTCAGTATTCACGAAAAATATCAAACAAGAAAATATGATAGTACAGCTGAGCTACTAAATTATGTTTTTAGAGATTTTCAGTTTTTTTTAAACAGAATGAATATTGAAGAAAAAAAGTATGTTAAACACTCATGAAAAGTTTTCAAATGTAGGATTGAAGTAAGAAATGAAAGCCAAAAGCAAGTTACTCGCGATTAAAACTGTACGTATCTTAAATTTAGTAATGCACAGTTATTCCTGTAATTTTATTAGAATTAATTTTCGCGTATTATGCTATATATTTATGAGAAAAGTTTGAAGACGTATAGGTTAATGATTCCATGCAAAATAAATAAATACAAAAAAACACGAAGAAAATTAAGAAAAACAGTAAGTTTCATTTATTGCCCATAAGCTGCAAGTAAACGGAACTCAAAGATAAGTTCAAAATGAAGATAAAACAAAGGAAAATTGCAGACACTTGAAAAAGGAGGGGGGAAATAATAATAAAAAAAAAATAACAAACAACTGGAGGAAAAAAAAAGGGATAATTTTTTTTTTCAAAATCCGAAAAATAAAAGATATAATCTTTTCATCAAACCACACGATTATATCAGCCAAACAGAGTGCTTTCTGATATTGTATCAATATAGCCAAAGCAAAATATATCAATACAATAGTGTGAGGAGCACTCAAAAAAATTTTTACAAAAATTACAACAAAAAAATAGAACACAGTAAGTAAAAAAAACACGTAAAAACAGAAAGTAAAATAAAATAAAAAGAAAAAACAGAATAAAACATAAAACATTATCTGTAAAGCGAGTAGCGAATTCAAATGAACTTACATGAACGGGAAATTTTTCAAGAAGGATTTAAAATATTTTTGCTGCGCAAATTGAGCGTAACTAGAGGAGTTTTGTTTTAAAGTGCCGTTCTTACTGCATTCCTGAAGTGCGTTTGATCTGTTAGTTACCAAGGATGGGCCCGAAAATGGAGGTTATTTAGTAAATAATATTATACAAGGTAATATTATGCTGGATAATTTAAAGAAATTAACCATTAATAATTTAAAAAATAAATATTTATTTAAGAAAAAAATATAAAAGAGAAAAGAGAAACATGAATTGCCTGTTTTGCACAGAAATTTGGCCACGGATTTGCCCGAAATGGATTTGCACATGGAAAAATTTTATAAATTAGCGAAGAAATTTATTAGTAAATAATTTTACCAACGGATTTGCCCGAAATGGATTTGCACATGGAAAAATTATATAAATTAACAAAGAAAAAAAATTCAGTAGATAATTTTAGCCACTTATTTGCCCAAAATGGACTTGCACATGGAAAAATTGAATAAATTAATAAAGAAATTTTTAGCAAATAATTTTAGCCACGGATTGGCCCGAAATAGATTTGCACATGGAAAAATTATATAAATTAACGAAGGAATTTTTTTAGTAAAGGAATTTTTTAGTAAATAATTTCGACCACGGATTTGCCCGAAATGGATTTGCACATGGAAAAATTATACAAATTAACAAAAAAATTATTTAGTAAATAATTTTGTCCGCGGATTTACCAGAAATGGATTTGCACATGGGAAAATTATATAAATTAATAGAGAATTTTTTTAGTAAATATATCTACAAAAATATACGATTAATTCAATGATTTTATATAGAATTTTATTACTTTAGTTGGGTATCCATTGTTTTTTATCAAATTTTGAAAGAGTTTATCGATTTGCTTTTTGGATAAATAAATATTACTACATATTCTTTTAATTCTATTCATTTCATTAAAAGTGGTATTTATTGTTGTTGTTGTTGTTGTTGATTTACGTCGCACTAGAGCTGCACAATGGGCTATTGGCGACGGTCTGGGAAACATCCCTGAGGATGATCCGAAGACATGCCATCACAATTTTGATCCTCTGCAGAGGGGATGGCACCCCCGCTTCGGTAGCCCAACGACCTGCGCGCGAAGTCGAGCACTTTACGGTAGCACAGTTTAACGAGGACCAATACCGCACACCCTCGGTCCCTACGCAGACTGATCCAAGTGGGTCACCCACCCGCACACTGACCGCAGCCAGTGATGCTTGACTTCGGTGATCTGATGAGAACCGTGTCTTAACGATCAGTCCACTGCGGGACAAAAGTGGTATTTAAATAGATGCTCCTAGAAACATTAGAATTCCAAGTAATTAGTTTATTTAAATTTAAATTAAAATCATTTCTTTTATCGTATAATTCAACAAAACAGATATTTTCTTCTTTTATAATATCCAAATCCAAAAAATTGAAATTAATATTATCATCATGATTACGAAGCAAGATTAATTCGTCGGGGCAAATACCATTTAATAAAATAGTATAATTTCGAAAATTACAGATAATTAAGTCATCAATATATCTAAAAATAAATTCAATACTAAGAGTATATTTTTTTCATCATGATGCAAAAATAAGTTAACTAAGAGACATGAATAATTAGATCCTTGTGGTATTCCATTAATTTGAAGAAAAATATCCCTTCCATTGTAAAGATAATTATTAAAAAGGCAAAAATTATTCAGAATGTCCCAATAATCAAAATCGCAAAGGATATTTTTTAAATCATAGTAATAATTCAAAAGGACATCTTTTAGTTAAGAAAGGGGAATGCTGTTGAAAAGATTCTGGAAATCAAAAGTCGCAATAGAATTAATTTTATGATGCTTAATGAATTCTAAAATCGGGTGATTATTAGTGATAATCCAAGAGAAACGTTCTTAAAAATATTGTTAATAATTTTATTTAAGTAGTTAGAGAAAATGGTGCCAGGTTTAGTTAGATAAGTATTAGATCCACATGTGATAATTCTAAATTTTACAGGAATTTTATGAAATTTAGGACTGATAATTAAGTAAGGAAATTGTATATTGCTAATTTTAATTTTTAATCTCTTATATAAAGCTAAAATTTTTTAATTACAATATTATTATTGAAATTACTAAGTTTAAAATTTTTACTACATTTTAATTCCGTATTTAAAAGTTCAGCATAAATTTTTTTACAGAAGTTATTGTTAGCTTTGTCTATAGGAGTAATGACAAAATTTTTTTGAAGTTGCTTAATTGATTGAACAATATTAGAAAAATTTGTTGGATTGGTACTGTTATTTAAATTATCCTTATTACTGAAAACTAAGTTTTTAAAGTAATAATAAACACCCCATTTCCATTCTGTTAACATACCTAAAGATAAAGAGAATCTATATGATATCTTTAAACTAAATCTATTGAGATCATTAAGAAAGTATTTTAGAATTTTATTGATTGATATATGGTAAATGGGTCTAAATTTTGTGCCTTTTATCATTAAATTCCTAAGTTCTAAGTTTTCTATAATATTTCAATTACCAGTAATAATATGTTTATGATGTTTATCAACAAAATCAAATATTTTTCTTCCTCACAGTGTCTAGTTACGCTCAATTTACGATTTTGTTTTCATACTTTGCAATCTGGCAATCTTGTTACGAAAATATTTTAAATCATTCTTGAAAAATTTCCCGTTCATGTAAGTACATTTGAATTTGCTACTCGCTTTATAGATTATGTCTTATTCTGTTTTTTTTT